TCAACAGGGTTACAATGTATAGAAATCATCTAGAATTTGCATCAAAGGACACAATCAATAGAGTAAAAAGACAACCCAAGAATCAGAAAAAGCACTGGCAAATCTTATATCTAGTGAGAGATTACTATCCAGGTCCATGAAGAACTCCTACAGCTCAACAATAAAATCAGACTAACTAAAAATTGGGCAAATGATTGTTAGAAGAAAACATGGGTACAGGCATAGACTTTCTTAATGGGATTCCTAAAGTTCTAGAAATAAAACCCAGAGTTAATCAATGAAATGACATTAAATTAAATTCTTCTGCAAAGCAAAGGATACAATTAGAAGTGTGGAGAAAAGCTACAGAATGGGAGAAAAATCTTTGCTGGCTACTCTTCTGACAGAAGATTAGTAACCAGAACATATAAAGAACTCAAAAAATGTAACACTAAATAAACAAATAACTCATTTAATAATTGGGCAAATGAACTAAAAAGACATTTCTCAAAAGAAGAAATACAAATGGCCAATAAATATGTGAAAATTTTGTTCAATATCCTTATTAATCAAGGATATGCAAATCAAAACTACACCCAGCTAGGCACAGTAGCACATGACTATAATTCCAGAGGTTCAGGAGGCTGAGGCAGGAGGATCTGAAGTTCAGAGCCAGCCTCAGCAACTTAGCAAGGACCTCAGCAACTTAGCGAGACCCTGTCTCAAAAAAATAAAAATAAAAATAAAAAGGGCCAGGGATGTGGTTCAGTAGTTAAGCACCCCTGTATTCAATACCCAGTACAAAAAAAAAAGAACTACAGTACTAAGATTTTATCTCAGTCCAGCTAAGAATGGAAGCTATCAAGAATATAAATAATAATAAATGCTGGCAAGTGTACAGGACATATAGGAACACTTATACACTGTATACACTTATACAATTTACAGTTGTAAATTAGTACAACTACTATGGAGATCCGTATGGAGGTTCCTCAAAAGACCAGGCATGGAACCACCATATGACCCAGCTATCCCGCTCCTCAGTGTTTACCCAGAAGAATTAAAGTCAGCATACTTCCACAAGGCATGCATATCCGTGTTTATAACAGCACAATTTGCAGTAGCCAAGCTCTAGAATCAGCCTAGATGCCCATCAACAGATGAAGGGACGCAGAAAATGTGATGTATATGCACACTGGAGTTTTATGCAGCCATAAAGAATTTAGGTCATCATTTGCAGGAAATAGATGAAACTGGAATGAAATAACAGAAAGTCAAGTATTCTGAGTTCCTCAAAAGACAAGGAATGGCTCTAGCATACATCCCAGCTATTCCACTCAGTATTTATCCAAAAGAATTAAAGTCATGACTTTCTCTCATCTATGGATGCTAGAAAGAAAGGGGAGAAAAGAGGCTTTTCCTGCCAACAGAAGGGAAGCCAGTAGAATAGAGGATTGGAGAGAAGCAGGAGAGAAGTGAAAGGGGAAGTACTGGGCAAGGAAATGGGCCACATTATGTGACATGCATACATGGGTATCACAATGAATCCCATTATTGTGTATAAGTAAATGAGCCAATTAAAATGGGCAAAGGACTTGAACAAACATTTCCCCCAAAATGATATACAAATGGCCAGTTAGCATATGAAAAGACATTCAACACCTCTAGTCATTATGGAAATGCAAGTTAGGAGCAAAACCACAGGCTCTCACCTCACACCCACCAGGACAGCCACAACCGAAAAATAAAACAAAGCACTAAGAAACTACTGGTGAAGCCGTGGAAAAAATGGGGAAGCTTGTTGACAAACAGAAAGGGCAGCCATCATTTTATGGAAAACAGTGTGCTAGTTCCCCCAAAAAATAAAAAATAAAATTTCCATATAATAGAATTGAAAATGGGGTCTCAAAGCAATACTGGAACACCTGTGTTCATAGACAAAACATGGAAGCAACTCGAGCCCCACCTGTGGAGGGGTGGAGGGACAAAGCCTGGTAGACACATTCAACAGAATATTAGTCAGCCTCTGAAAGGAAGGAAAAAATCTGACCCAAGCTATGGTATAGGATATTTTGCTAAGTGAAACAAGCCAGTCACAAAAAGTGAAATCCTATATGGTCCTGCCTGTTCAGGAAGGCACAGAGTCAGAAACTCAGAGGGACACAGCAGAAGGGTGGCTGCCAAGAGCCAAGGGGAAGGGAAATGGGGAGTTTTAGGGGGTACAGAGCTTCAGTTTTGCAAAATGAAAAAGTTCTAGAGACTGGCTGTTCAACAGTGTGAAGTGTACTTACTGCCACTGATCCATACATTTAAATATAGCTAAGATGCCAGATTTTATGGCATGTCATTTAACAATTTTTTAGAAAGTATCCAGAACTGTGGTTTTCAAATTTCAGCAAATATTAAGTACAGCCTACAAATATAAGTACAGTCTGTTAAACTTGCATGTTCCAGGGCTCCTTCTCCAGAGAATCTAATTCAAGAGTCTAGGCCTGAAACCCGGGAATCAGCATTGTCATAAACACCCAGGTAACTTAGCTCATTAAGAACTCATTTATGACTTTCTTCTGAAGAATAAGGGTGATCTTTTGAAGACTCTGCGCTACTGCTCAGCATCCATGTTTTAAGCAAGTGTGTGTATGTGGATGTATATCCACATGTACAAAGAGCAAGAGAACAACCTCAGGCAGGTTCCAGCCACAGCAAGGAGGTGGCTCTCCCGTCCTGGGGAAGCTGGAGCTGTAAGGCTCCTGTGTGCGGCCTGGGCTCCAAGCCCACAGGGCTCTCACATTTCTGCCTGGACGAGCTCCACATCTTACCAGAAGCATGTCAAATAAACCAAACACATGTCCACAGGATGTCCCCAACAAGGGAGGTAATGTCACACACACCCCACAGTGGCCTTGCTTCCCGGGCAGCTGGAGAGAGATCTGACTCAGGCAAGGCCACTGCAAACAGTGCACACAACACAGGGAAATCACAACTCCCAACAGTGGCCCTGGGAACAGAAGGCCGAGGAGGGCCCTGAGGCCAGGGATTCACTGGCCAGGAGGGTCTGGGAGAGGGAGAAGAGCCTGGGAGGAGCAGCTCTTTCAAGGAACCTCTCACTGCCTGACTGGCAAAGGAGGCTCTGCTCATTCAGCCACGGCCACCAACCAGTGCCCTCAGCCTGAAGACATCCCAGCCATGAAGTCATTTGTTATCTTCGTAATGGCACCTCCCAAGCTCCACTCCAACACCACCATTACTTTGCAGTGCGGCGAGGATGTCGCTCTTTGGGCAGGAAGCAAAGAGCACTTCCAGCCTGCTGCAGCCAGGGCCCCTACGGTTCGGAAGCAGAGAGGCCACAGAACTCCCTTCCCTCTTCCAAGGCCCTGAGAGTTCACATGGCCGTGCAGTTTTGTAACACATACAAAGCCACGACATTCCTGAATTCTTTTGCTGATAGTCCAATCATTGCCAATAAACTATTTGAGTATTAGACCCATAGAACCGGAACCTACTACTGGATACTATTTAAATTTCATGAGGACCCCCACCTCTGAAAGGGCCAAGTGCAGTCACATCCATTAGCTCATTCAAATCTTCCCTTAGGGGTAGATTTTATTTGTAAGTCATGTTTACAGTTAAGAAAATAGGAATTCAGAAAAGTTCCATGACTTCCCTAGGGTCACCTAGGGTCCCAGAGATAGTTTGAAATACAAACCCAAACCCAGTGTTCACTCTACAATACCATTAACTCCTAATGATAAGAATGAAATAATCCACCCTTCTGGATGGGTGCTCTGGGTCTAGAGCGCACAAACAAAAACACACTCTAAAAATAAATAAATAAATGAGCTTCTCTTTGGATCAGTCCATTAACAAACACTTAATAATAACTGCCAACTTTTATTGATTGCTTGTCACATGATAGGTACTGAGCTAAATTTTTCTTGCAATATTTTATAACTCACCATGATCCTATAAAAATAAAACACAGACATTAGCCTCACTCTGCAGATGAGGAAACTAGACTCAGAAAGGCTTATTAATTTGCTCAATTACACACAGTAGATAAGAAAGTCAAGACTTAGGCTGAGGTCTAATTCTAAAGCCCTTGCATTTAACCATGATGCAATATTCTAGAAGTGGAGAAGGCCCACCAGCAGTACACAGGCAGGGTATGGAAAATGCCTTTAGCCTACATCAGAGACTAAAAGCAAAAAGGAAAAGAACAAAAAAATATAGATTACATGATTTTAGGTTCTAAGGAACTGGTCATTGCCACATCAACTGCTCTACATGGGTATTGCCCAGGTCCCTGCAGAAGCCCCATTTCTCAGAGGCTCCACTTAGATATTCTGAGCATGGCACAATTCCTCAAAGCACCCCACAAGATTTGCAGCGAGAAAGGTGTCACCAGCTCTTGTAACTAACCTTTCGAGTACACTAAGATTTTTCAGTTAGTCTGGATCTATGCAGAGCTTATCTTCTAACTTTTCTAAGGCTTTTCTGGTGCAGCTGATAAGATTTGCTAGCCCTGTTAAAATGCGATGAGATCCAGCCAGCTGTCGAGAAATGTACAATGAGATTATACTGAGAAGGAACCACCAGAGACAAAGGCCCCTAAAGAGGAGCTGGCCTGCTGTCTGCTTTTGTGGCTGAAATCCAGGGGTCTCTGGTTCTTGGGTGGGGGCAGGGAGAAGAAGAAGGGGCAACAGCCATTTGCTTTATGCTCTGCTGTGGTCTTCCTCTGTGCCCTGTTGAACAGGCTGTTGGAGGACAGGGGACAGAAGGTGCATCTTTAGTGGAGAGAAAGGCTGATGATTTAGGAACAGTTGTGTGCTGGTAACAAAGAGGACAAAGATGATCCTGGGTCTACCTTGTTCTCCATGCCTGTCTCTTAGGTTCTGATGTTCCCTGGTCCTATGTCCCTGGCCCTGGTGCCTCACTTGCACTGGAGAGACTGCAAGGTGCTTATCAGCATGCCCTTCTGGATGGGTGCTCTGGGTCTGGAGCGCCCAAGTGGAACATCTCACCTCGCACACAGGTGCCCTAGGTGTGAATGTTCTCTGCTGCGCCCGGTTACACAGGCCAACGCCCCAGAATATGCCTAAGGGTCAGGTGCACTCTGGTCTGCACCCACGTGACCGCAGAAAGCCGGACCCCGGGCCTGGCGGGTCAAGCGACTGTGCCCAGCCCATGCCAGGTGGGCCCCTCACCTGCGCCGGGCCCGGGGGTGCTGCTTCC